TTCATATAACTTTGATTTGATTTACTAATATTTTATTTAGAATTTTGTGCCTGTGTTTATAAGGGATGTTAATCTATAATTATTTTTAATGTCCTTATCAAGATTATATTATACTAGTTTCTATAAATGAGTTTCTTTCTTCTCTGAAAGTGTTTGCGTAAGATAGGTATTATCTCTTTCTTAAATGTTTGGAGGAATTTACCAGTGAAACTGTCTAGTATTTTTACGTTTTTTTACACAATACTGAAATTTATATTTTTCTATCCATATCTATATTAATTACTTTCTTTATCCTTCTTCTGAACAAGACAGACTTTAACCTTCTTCTGCTTTTCCTTCTCCCAACCCCATTTCCTACCTAATCAACAATTATTCCTGTTGATATCAATATAGTTTTGAATGTTAGTGAGGTTTTGTGTTTTTTTTCTTCCCAGTTAGTGCTGATTTAGACTTAAAGGTTTTACTGGTTTTTCTTTTTCTGCTTATTCTTTTCTCGTGCTTTATTTGTTATTCTTGGATTAAATTTTATTTCAGATATATATCTTTGAGTAATTCTTGAGAAGTCTGAGGGAAACAAACTTTTTGGATCCTTGCACATCCAAGGATCTTGTTCACTCTCCTTCTTGGACAAGAGTTTGAGTAGGTATAAAATTCTATATTTAAAAGTATATCTAGTTGTCCCAGGACTATTTGTTGAAAAGACTGTTTATTCCCTACTGAATAGTCTTGTTACCCTTCTCAAAAATCAATAGACCGTAGATGTTTTTGGGTTTACTTCTGGACTCTGTATTCATTCCATTGATCTGCATGTCCTTCCTTATGCCAATACCACACTATTTTGAATACTGTATCTTTTTAGTAAGTTTTGAAATCAGGAAGTATGAGTCTTCCAACTTACACTTCTTTTTTAAGATTGTTTTGGTATTCTTGGTTCCTTGCATTTCTGTATGACGTTTAGGATTAAACTTGACCATTTCTGAAAAACAAACAAGATATTTGAAATTTTGATAGAGATTGCTTAATTCTCTTTTGGATCTCAGCTTTTTAAAAATATATGCTTTTTCCAACTGGCCACCGTGTAATAATGTTTAAAAAAAATGTAAAAAAAATAATATATATGCTTTTCTACTTTTTAATATTTGGGTCTTGATTTTATGCTCATTCGTGTTTATTTGAGTGTCCTCGTTAGCCTTCCTGTGAGTGTTACATCTATTTATTGCCGAGGGTCTCCACTGATTGCGGGTAGGGATGAAATGTGCACTGAGATGAAGTGTAGCAGTCGCTATTCTTCAGTGTGACTGTTCCCTCTTCTGTCTGAGTGTTAATATCCACATAGGTCTTTGTGCTGTCTCTCTGATACAACTGTTCATACTTATTGTTGCTAGGTGGAGAGTATTTGTTGCTACTGTTCCCATCTGGGAGCAAATACCTCTATTCTACAATGATTGACTTAGAGAGGGTGGGAGGAGTTGACCTTTGTAACTGTTGTGCTACCCGCCAATCAATCATGCTGTAAATTTTGTAAATTGTTTCATTTCTTCCAGCTGTATTCCACCTCTGGGCTTAGTTTACCCTGAGAGCTACTCTCACCATCTGCCCTAGTCCTCTACTCTTGGTGTATAGGACTGTGGTTTCCTCCTTTAGTCTGATTCTATCAGTTTATTATCTTTCAGTGATTCCTTATAGTGCTAGTCCACTAAGGGCATTTCTTGCTTTCTTTTGATTATGGATTTTTTTTTAATGGCTTTTGTGTCATTTGGGAGATTTGGGGGGAAGGTGAGCTTGCTTGCTGTGTGCTTAGCCTACCATGTTGATTCAGTTAACGACCATATTATATTTATAGTGAAGTAAACTTAGTAAAAAGGAAAACAAATTTAAAAACCTAGCAAAAAAATAAAATATTGATGAAACCATTGAAGAAATTATGGTTTTTGTTTTGAAGGATAGAAGCAATCACTAATGAAGATTGGCAGTTTGCATATATAAAAATTAAAACTTCAGTAAACAAAAGTTCAGACCAGGAATATACTTATATGAAATTGGAAAGGCATATATTTCTTTAAAAATAAAAATATAATAAAAACCATTTTTCTTGGTGTTACACTACTATATTGCTGGTTTCTCTTTTTTCCTGCTCTTTGAGTAAAAGAATGAAATGTGGGTTCTGAGGTCAGTGCCTACCTTGCTTGAAAAACCTGCATAGAGTCAACATTAGCCTCTGCCTGTATTGGTTGCTGAGAGAAAAACATGCCAAAGATGTTTCACAAAAGCTCTGAGAAAACATAAAAAAGGATTTCAGATTACAACTTTGGTTCAGTAATTTTTAATGCTACTCACTCAGTGTTATCAGTGTTATCTAAAGTAGTTTTATATTTTTGCATTATAATATGTCTTAGAATTTTTGGATAATGTAGAAGGGGTACTAACCCCAGCCCCAATCATAACCACTGTTAACACTGGTATGTTTCTTTCCATTTTTTCTTACTATTTTTTAAAATTAAAGTAATATGGTATTGTTTTCCTTCCAGCCTGAAATTAATACCTATTCAGAGAGCTTGGAAAATAAAGATCAGCATAAAGGGGAAAAAACAAAAATCACTCATAATGACCATCCAAAGATAATAACCATAATTAAAATTTGATATATATCTTTCATGTATTTTTCATGAATATATAAACACTTTTTTCTTTACTAAAATGGTATCATAATTTAATATTATTTTGTACCTTGCATTTTTCATTTGTAATATATTGTGAATGTTTTGTCATGTTAATAGTTTTGTATATACTTTTAGTGGTATGTAGAATATGAACATATTTAAGTATGTTTATTTAGCATACTTACTTAACCATCTCCTTGTCATTGGACATCGAAAGTGTTTCTCATTGTTTACCATTATAACTAATACCATAGTTAATATCTTTGTCCATACGTCTTTCTATGCATCTATGATTGTTTCTTTAGGAATAGATTCCTAGAAGTGGAATAGCTGGGTCAAAGGGTATGTACATTTTAATGCTTTTGATACAATAAAAATGTCAAATTTTAAGCTAATTACTTGTTATATTCTGTCTGGTATTGTTACCTAATTGTTTCATGTGTCTGTCTTGTCTTCCTAATTAGAATATAAGCTTCTTGAGGGCAAGGGAAGTTTCTTATACATCTTATGTATCCTTTGACAGTGTGGTTTACAGTGTTGAACTTGGAGTCATCAACACATACTATATTGATTTAAAGCAGTAGTTCTCCAGGCTTTTGAATGTCATAAACCTGTAAATTAAAAAAAAATGTACATATATATATATATATTTGGATAGATGCAGGCTTACAAATTTTCTATTTTTCCAAGAAAGGATATTAAAAAACAAAATCATTTCCTCATCACCATCATTTCATAAATTAAAGAATACTTAACAACAAAAAGGTTCTAATCTCTGAAAAAAGGATAGGCCTTTAAATAGAACATTTTAGCTTTTTGAAAAACTCAACTGCCTTGTCCATATTTTTCTCATTTTGTGTTTGACTGGTGAATCTTCACCTTAGCCTAGCCATGGACTGCAGACCAACATTTGGGAACCACTGATTTAAGAGACTTAGAGTATTAAAAGATAAACCTTTTTGCAAAATAAATAATTCTTCCCCTTGTTCATGAGTCTGTCTTCTCTACAATACTAAGTAAATGTGCCATACATTCTGTGTAATGCCATTTCATTACACATAATTTGTATGTCTCTATATACAGATTCTGTAGTAAGCAAACTAGACCTTGCTGATGAACATCTGAATATATTTTCAATTGCCAAAAATAAAAACCATTCTCTTTCTAGGGATTCTGAGACAGGGTAAGTGTGGTATAATGGAACAAGAGCAGGTTTTACAGTCAGAGGCCTGGGCTTGAATCCTGGCTCTGGTGTTAAAATCACTTAATTTTCCTTTAGTTTCCTTATTTATAAAATTATGATGATAATATCTTCTTCAGAGTGTTTTTATAGCCCCTGTTATAGCAGTTACTGCACTGTAATGTAATTATTAAGTAAGATATTTGCATATCTGCCTTCCTCATAAGACCATGGGCTCTTAAGAGTAGGAGTCATATCCTTCTTTTGCAACCCTAGGTTGCCTAGGACTCCACACATAGCAGATGCTTAATAAAATGACTGTTAAATCAATACAAGATTGTTGCGAGAGTTATATGAGGTAATATATGTGGAAGCTCTTTGTAAACTTTAAGCATTATACAAATGTTAATTGTTTTTATTGTCAGTAAGAGCTATTTTTGGTAGCTATCAAAACTTTAAGAAAAGAGAAAATTATCACATTTAACAGTTCCATAAATGCATTGAATTTTTCTATTTATAAGAAAACAGTTTTAGTTGGGGTTAACATGGAGCTTCCTGGGAAGGTAGATGAACTCTCCTCTCTTACTCCATGGAAGTGCCAAGATAGTAAATGTTTGTTTTATTTGGTTACTATCATGAAATTTAATTATAGTAGGATCACCTTATTTTATATTTAAAGAATGCTGCCCATTGCTTTATCTTCTTAACTATATAATTAATAAAAGAAGGATACCAAACCTTGAAGAGAACAGGAGCCTATGTTATGCCCAATTAGTTTTGGTCAGATCCCTTTTTTGACATAACTGACTTAAAAAAATGTCATTGTTTTTAATCTATTCGTAAAGCTCCTGGTAATTTTTGCCTACAAGATGGCATTGGTGATTACCGAGTGCACATACTATTGAACCACACTTCTGAAAAAAGGTGCACACAATTGTTTGTATTTATTTGGGGGTAAGAGTTAAAAACTTTTGTCACAGCTTATATATTAATATAATTTTGACTTCTAAAACAGGGTTAAATGCTACTTTACATCACTCTCTTTCTGCATTCAAGTATTGTTTTGTTTTCTGTTTTTCTGTCTTAATAACTACAGTAACTGTGTATTATTTGCCATGTGTTGTATGTGTCTGACTTATTGCTGATGATTGTGGTAACAGGTAAGAAGAAAATACGATGGGACCCAGTTAGGAGGCGCTTCATTCAGTCCTGTCCCATCATAAGGATCCCTAACAGGTTTTTGAGAGGTGGGTGATAACTAGCAAGAGATCTGTGCTTCATATGGTTTAAAAGGAACTTTGAATGAATTTTCTAAATTCAAAACTCTGGTTTTTAAAAATTGTCTAAATAGCCAATGAAACAATTGGAGTAAGAAAGATGTAGAGCTTAATTTTAAACCCATGTTTCATGTAGGCCACTGTTGGGACTGTAATTATAAGTTTTGGGGAGTTAGAATTACTTAATGTATGTTAGATGGTAGAAATAAATTATGCCACTGATATCAGTGGTGTTCTGCTATAACCACACTAGAAGGAACTTTGAGTGGATAATTTATAAAATATAGGTATGAGAAAGCATTTTCTAAATATGATTCTAAGGAAGAAATAAAAGATTAATTTATTTGATGATAGAAAATAAAAAACTCTTATGTCAAATATCATAAATAAAAAGATAAATAACAAGGGAGAAATATTTGTAACAAATGGGTTATATTATGAATATATAAAGAGTTCTTATAAATCAATAGGTTAAAAGCAGATGTCCACTAGAAAAATAGGTTAAAAGATATGAATAATCAATTTGTAAAAAAGAAATGTCAATAATTATGAACAAATATTTATTTTCACTATTATTATAAACATGACAATTAAAACAATAAAACATTTTCACTTATTAGGTTGACAAAGGCTAAAAATAAGAATACCCAGTGTTGGCAAGGGTATCGGAAAATGAAGCTCATATGTTGAAGGAAGTATAAAAGTTATATAGCCTTTCTGGATCCAATTTGGCCATATGTATCAAAAACCTTAAAAATGTTCATACCCTTTGACCTAGCAATTCTTACTTTTAGAAATGTTGCATTTCATTCCTTCTATTTTTTATTTTTTCCACTAAAACATACTCCATACTGAATAAAGAAAATCTCAAGAAGGTTGAAAATTCTGGTTCACACTGTTTTTCTAGATATAACAAATTGTCAGACAAGCATACTTAATGCTGTAATTTAGACTTTATTAAATTATTTATAAGCCAGTGTATCTAATTTTAACCTAAGAGATTTTAAAAATAACCTAGGAAAAAATCCTACAGCTGCATAGATGTTTCTATATCTAGTCCCTAACCGATTTTTAGCAGCCAAGCACTAGAGCAGGAAAAGGATAAAATCAAGCCTAAATGGGTGAAGATAAGATACTTAAGATAATGTGCTACCTTTTATCATAAATAACTTTATTGATAAAAATTAAAAGGTAATTTTAGTATTATGTGACAAAAAAAACCATTGTGCATATACACGTTGGCCAAGCAGGCATGTCTAATTCTATAACATTTTTTCTTTTTTCTATTTATAAATTAGAATGCTAATTTATTGATTTACAATGAGAACTCTAACTTGGGCTGAATAAATCATAAATTAAGCCTCATTATTTAATTATATTACTATTATTTTATTATATAAACATAATTAAGAAATTGTTTAATTGGTATATAGAATTCAGTATAATAATTATATAAAAATATAAACATAAAAACAAAGGATATGATAACATAACTGGTTATATCTATATGGTGGGATTTTATTTTCTTTTGTATATTTTCTGTTTGTCAAGTTTTTAATCATAAAAAAAGGATTGCACAGGTAAGTTTCATACCATTGGTTATTTGTAAGCTCTCAATTGCCTGAAACAATGGCTGAGAAAGATGATCTCTGACCGTGTTGAGAAGTGAGGTGGTAGTTAACTCAACATTAACAATATCAAGATCACTGGTGGCCTTATCTTAGTTCTCACCTTCTTTGACCTGTTTGTAGTATTTGATACTGTTGACTACCTGCCCTTTCTTAAATTTTTATCTTCTTTTGGGTTGCTTTACTGTACAATCCTAGATGTTTTCTTCCTGCCTCTTTGATTGTTCATTCTGTTTCCTTCGCTAGCTTCTTTCTTCTAACCCTCTAAAGGTGGGTTTTGCTCCAGTGTTCTATCCTTCTCTCCATTATCTCCTTTGGTTGTCTCATCAACTTTCATAGGCTTAACTATCTTCGTTTGTTCGTTCGTTCGTTCTTTCAGTATTTGATTGCTTCCTATGTACCAGGCACTGTGCTAGCTTGAGGATCTAGATAATAGAGAATCAGGCAAACAGATAATTACAGAATAATTTGAGTATAATTCTTTGTGGTGAGTATCCTGATAAGGTAGTATGGAATGGGAGCACACAGAAGAGGTATATGACTCAGCTTTGGGGGAGGAGGCTGAGAGAGGAGTGGCCATAGGATGACTTTTAGAAGGGATGTGCTTAAAGGCTGAGTACGTGTCAGCAAGGGAGGGTTAGAACCTCTCAACTCAAGAGGACCAAGCAGCTTGAGTAAAGGCACTTAGGCAAAACAGGACGTGGTGCTTTCAGAGCTGTGGAGGATATTCAGCATTGGGCGGGGGGGGGGGGGGGAGGGGCATACACATCCATTAGGCATGGGGGGGGGGGGGGGGGAATGGTGGACAGACGAAGCTGGAGAAGGCGCTGATCAAGTGGGGCATCACCCAAGTAGAGTTTTCAGGATGAAATTTGGTTTTTTAATGGGTGAAGAGATTTAATTAAAAGACCAGTTATGAGATTATTACAGTTACCAAGATGAGAAATGATGGATATAGATATTAAAGTAATTATAGTAGGAATGGAGAATAGGAATTGATTTGAAATATAAAGAAGTGGAATTAGATAAGACTTGATGGCTAATTAAAGAGGAGGAAGTGCTCTTCGTCAGCTGTTACATAGGTATATGGAGGGGCAGGTTTTAGGGAAAAGATGATAAATTCAGTTTAATCTCTCCAAACCAGTAATAGCATATCCTTTAAGACTCAATCTGAGAGTTATTCCAGGGAAACTTCCTTGGCAAGCCTGTCCCCTCTTTGTTCTGATGGCACCCTTTGTGAACCTGTTTGTATCCTAGCACTTACTGCATGGAATTGTAGTCGTTTGTTTACTTGTCTGTGCCTCCCATTAGACTGTAAGCTCTATAAGGGCAGGGACAGTAGGTTGGTGCCTTTCATTTCTTTATCTTCAATTTGTAGCACAGTGCATGTAGTAGGTTTATCATATGTATATGAGTCGAACTGAATTATTTAACCAGCTGCTGTCAGGAAGGAGGAGGAGACTAAAATTTTAATATGTTCTCAACTTCTTTCTGGTGGTGGTGACAATGAACTAATGAATTGTTGAGAACATGAAAATGCTATTGTTTAATAGCTCATTAGTTGTTGTTTTTTTTAACTTATCTATACTTTTGAAATAGTCACTTCCAAGCCTCTCATTTTGGGAATCCTTTGCATTACCTCTTTTGATTGTGATTGTAGACAGTTTCATGGGGCCCGTTTCTTGTCACTAGATTCCTTCACTAGATCCTGCATCTTCTCTAACAGATACCAATTAAAAAAATGTGTAGGCTGGGCACGGTGGCTCATGAGCGCCTGTAATCCTAGCACTCTGGGAGGCCAAGGCAGGTGAATGGTTTGAACTCAGGAGCTTGAGACCAGCCTGAGCAAGAGCGAGACCCTGTCTCTACCAAAAATGAAAGAAGTTAATTGGACAGCTAAAAATATATATAAAAAATTAGCCGGGCATGGTGGTGCATGCCTATAGTCCCAGCTACTTGGGAGGCTGAGGCAGGAGGATCACTTGAGCCCAGGAGTTTGAGGTTGCTGTGAGCTAGGCTGATGCCATGGCACTCTAGCCCAGGCAACAGAGTGAGACTGTCCAAACAAACAACAAAAAAAGTGTGGTATAATGAAAACAATACCTGTGTGGTGGAAACAGTGGGTTTCAATTATAAGATGATGGACTAAACATACCCATTTACCTTCCCCTGCTTCTCAGATATCATTGAAAATGACAAAACAGACATAAAACAGAGAATAAATCATCATTGTAAATAAAAAAACAGAAAAGGGAGACTTTGAAGCTAAATTACATGTGTCTGAATCCAGGCTCTGCCATTTACTGTTTGACCTTGGGCAAGTTGCTTATTCTTTTCTTGCCTCAGTTACCTCATCTGTAAAGTTAGGATGATGATAATAACCCTAGAGTTATTGTGAAGATCAAGAGAGACAATATGTGCAAAACACTTAGGAAAATTTTTTACATATGGCAAATGTTGAATTAATTTTAGGTGCTGTTATTTATTTATTTATTTATTTATTTATTTTTGAGACAGAGTCTCGCTTTGTTGCCCAGGCTAGAGTGAGTGCCATGGCGTCAGCCTAGCTCACAGCAACCTCAAACTCCTGGGCTCAAGCGATCCTGCTGCCTCAGCCTTTCAAGTAGCTGGGACTACAGGCATGCGCCACCATGCCCGGCTAATTTTTTCTATATATATTAGTTGGTCAATTAATTTGTTTCTATTTATAGTAGAGATGGGGTCTCGCTCTTGCTCAGGCTGGTTTCGAACTCCTGACCTCGAGCAATCCGCCCACCTCGGCCTCCCAGAGTGCTAAGATTACAGGCGTGAGCCATCGCCCCCCGGCCTCGGTGCTGTTATTATTATTGTTATAATGCCAGAAATTTTAGGGTAATAGAAGGCAATTGGAATTATATTGATTTAAGAACCAGCACAGAATAAAATGCAACCCCAAATAGGTGCTCCTGCTGCATGACAGAAATTAGAGAATTTAATTTCTTAGTAGAGCTCTTTCCAGAAACTCTTAAGTTTAGAGACAGCAAGTATAAGAAGAGGGAGCAGGTTTTGGGAAAGTTGGAACATCAGAACAAAGAAAGAAATACTTTCAAAAGTTACTTTCCCTACTCCTTCTCTCCCTCCTTTCACATAAAGAGCTCTAGCAATGGCATTCATTCCCTGGATAAAGCCATGAATTCTTCAAGCAAAGTAGGGGATTTGCTTTCGTTAAGTTATTGTGAGCATGCACTGGGATTGGAGAGAGTGCACAAAGCAGAGCCTTAGGTAATGGACCTCCACAATAGACTGGATGAGGACGGTGGAGTGAGGGGAAGAAAAGAAAAGGAGCTCCATCAAGGATTGATG